ACCCAGGAGTGGAATCAAAAGACACTGGCTCACCATCGCCATGGAGTAGCTTGCTAATATACAGGATTTTAAATCCGCCCTCCACACACCCAGCTTCTTTGTCTGGCCTGAGCCAGGCCCTGCCTGCCTCTCTCTCTCTCTCTCTCTCTCTCTCTCTCTCCTTCCCTCCCACTGGCTGCTTCCTCTGGCCCAGCAACATCAGACCCGAACCACCTTGCCATTTCAATCCTCCTGGAAACCCCAATCAGCCCGAAACCCCATAGACCTGATACTCCAGCCTGGGGGAAATCCCAGGAGGCCAAGCTCCCTAATGGGAAAGTCACCCTGACTGGCCAGACACTTCAATCCGCAGGACATCCCAGATTACCCATCATCTCAGCAGAGGGGAAGCCCCAATGTCCCAATTCTCCCAGCCACTCAACACTCCTGCCCCAGGTTGTTCGTCCAGGGCAAGTGAAAGATGTGCTGGGCGACCGTTTCTTCTGCGCTCCTAAGATTTTTCTCTTCTACACACTTCTTCCCGTTCAAATCCCTTTCTTTGTTAAAAAAAAAAAAAAAAAAAAAAAAAAAAAGGAAAATAGTCTCCAAGCTCCTGCATGCGATCGGTTAAAAAGCCTGTTTTAATTGCTCGGATAATGTGGTTGCTGCCATTTTGTTAAGAGCAATCACTCCTGCAGCGAAATCACAAGCGCTCTAGACAGGCCGGAGCCGACAAAAATGTAGGATTTGACGTTAAAAGCTAAATGGGAAGCTGGGGCGGCGGAAGGTAAATTGATGGTAGATCTGGCTGTCAGGGCTCGGCCCCAGACCGCCGCGCAGGCCGAGCGCCTGATAACCCTGGAGCACTCGCAGGGCCAGGGCTCGGAGGCTTGCCTCTGTGTGTGTGTGTGTGTGTGTGTGTGTGTCTGCACCCCCATTCTCAGCTTGGGAAGGAATTTGGGGAACTCTACAGAGTGGATCCCCAACACACTCCCCGCTCTCAGTCGCAGTCTTCCAGGGCCCTTGCCCCCAGCCAGGGCACTGACAGCAACTCTAAGGGCCTTTTGTGGTCGAGAGGCTGACCGAGGACCGCAGCAGCAGTTGGGGTTCTCCTTGCTTCCCAAATCTCTTGGAGCTCGGTGGGAAGTTTCGGCCAAGTGGGTGAGCCAGTAGGCCAGAGCATCGAGAAAGGGTGAGTTTCCCGCCTAGGTGTGGGAGGACCAGGAGTCCTGCTTTTTTCTACTTCGAGATGGATGCAGCCTTGGCGCAGCAGAGTTGCTTCTCGTCTGCCTTGGAAAGCGCGTGCGTGACAAGAGGATGGAGGGTGCCTCATTTCTCTTCCCCTCGCTGAAGACGGTTCTGGTGGCTGCCCGGGGCTGGCGAGGATCCTGGAGTTACTCTGTCACCTGGCTTAAGGTATTAGGAGAACGAGAGTTGGGCGCACGCGGAATTCGCAGGAGGGAGGCCTGGAAGCTCGTTCAGAGTCTAAAGCTTTGTAGAGGGAAACTGGGCCAGTTGCGAAGTCTGAGGTGGGTGTGCAAAGAATAGTAAGCGAGCGAAGTATGCTACGAAAGCCCGCACCGCGTTTGCATTGCGGAAAAGTGCTCTGTGACTCCCGGAACTGGAACCAAACGCGGTTTCTAAAGGGGCGTGCCATTCGCGGTTTTCTCTTCCGTTCCGCCTTGAACTCTCCCTGACAATGCACGGCTGGATTTTGGAAAAGAGAGTGGCCGGTGGGTGCCAAGTAGAGATGGATTGGAAGGAGGCTGCTGGCTTGGGCCCTGTCGAGCGCTGGATCTCGACCTGGGCGCTGCCGGTCTTTTCAACATGTGTTGACCTGAAAGAACCCGTTCCCTCCAACCGACCCGGCTCCTACGGTTCGGATCTCCTGCAAGAGGAGAGGACGCCAACAAGTCTCACGCACGCACAGGACTCCCGGTCCGTCCGAACCCACCGACCCCTCCCAGAGGAAAACCCAGAAGCCGGTTTCAGACCGGAGTCTGGGTGGAATTCCTGCACCCTCTCCCTGAGGAAGCTCGGGCATGCAATGAATTGCTGCTGTATGCATTATGTTTATAGGGGTGGGGGGGGACTACTTTGTAACTGTTTAAATGTGGGGGCGGGGGACAACTGCAGGAAAGAAAACTATGCCCACGGTTCCGGGGGCCGGCCTGTCCTCTGCGCGTCGCCCAGTCCCCGGCTGCCGCGCCACGCGCACTCCCCGCACTACTGTGCGCCCAGTTCTCAATAACGTGAATCTGCTAGGCGGCTGCGGCCTGTCGGGCCAATGGAGGCTAAAGCGCAGGGGGTGTCTGACTTACAAGTGTGCAGAAGTGAAGTTTTCTCTCCCTGTTTTCCCTGCACTACCCTACCGGCGTTGGTTCCCATGGAAGATCGCGCCCCCTACCTCTCCCCCAAAGGCAGCCCCCCTGCGGGCACATTCCCTTCGAATTCTCCCGGCGTTTGGGCCGCTTTGATGATCAGATGGTAGAGTCCTGATTACAAATTTATTCCCGGCCGCTCTGTCCGTCTTTATCTCCGCTATTAGGGACATCTGGGAGTGATTAGCACCGCGCCCGCGCCCGGCCGCGCTTGCCTATCTCGCCACGGCCGGGCCCTGAGCCTCGCTGACGTCAGGGCAGACGGCTCGGAGCCATCCCAGCCGAGCTGGGTGTAATCGGCGGCCGCGCGGCCAAGCCCCGCCTGGGCCAGGCAGCTGGAACGCGCCGCCCGCCTGCTCGCAGGCACTTTCTAAATAAGTATTTTTAGCGCAAAGACTTCTTGTTTTCCTTGTTTGGGGAAGGAGGGGCCGGTTACCGTTTCTGCTGCCCCCTCCCCACTTTAAATTATTCCAACTCTCCAAGTCTGGTGCGTTCCGCCCGGAAAACCCTCCCACCTTCAGTCCTGACCTGCAGGCGCGGTTTGGCTACCCCTGTACTAGGGCGCTGCTCTCCTGAACCAACAGCAGCGGCCCCGTAGGCTGCGTCAGTGCAAGGCCGGGACCTGCGACGACGCTGCAGTGGTACTGCCCCCCATAGCCTCTGGCAAAATAGTGGGGGTTTCAGTCCTGAGGGGCCACCCAGCAGAAGCTGATTACAGAATGGGATGGCTTTCGGCGGCCACTATCTTTGCACCTGCTATTAAAGCCTGTCTAATGGATCCAAGGAGCCAGAGCTCGAGATATCCTTCCGCTACGCTTCACCCCGCCCCCACCGCCGCGAGAGTTATCCTTGGGGCAAACACTGACACCTTCCAGATCTAGGAAGCTGGCAGCAGTTTTGCCTCCTACCATGACCCAACGTTTAGAGTAAAGGCTGGATAGATTTGTGTAAATCCTGTATGGGCAAATAGAAGTCCTCAGGCCCCTGATGCTGGCTCGGTGGGATAACCTGGTCTCTCCTGGAAAAAAAGGGTGCTAGGATCAATGCAACATCTGAACCCTGTAGCCCCTATTTCACCCTCCTTCACCACAAGTTCGGAATAAGTCAGGGAATATACTCCAGAGACCGCGATTTTCAAGGACTCTCTAGCAGACTCTGGAAACATTGCCTGAGACATCAGCCCAGCCTCCAGACTCTCCATGCTCCAGGAATACTGGACCTGTGTAGATAGAAGTGGCTTTGTCAAGGATGGGGAGGGAGTAAAGTAGGCCTGCATTAGAGTCTGCAGAGGGAGACAACTCCCCATATTGTGGGTCAGCCCTGCATCTTGATTTAACTGAACCACAAGAAGATTGGAAGTGAACGCAGGGGATGCTATTTATTTCTGCGCAGACTGCAGAGGGTCAGCTGAGTATTCAGTCAGAGGCTACTGTGAATTTAACTAGGAAATAGAAGGCAGCTGATGACTTGAGTAGAGGGACAAGAAGATCCATGCGGGGGACCAAGAATAAGCTGGAATTCCAGTACAGAAAATTTCTCCAAAGTGCACTCCACCTCAATCCTCTGAGATACCTGTACACACAAGACAACATAGTGTCTTCGTGTGATCTAGAACAGAAAAGGAGCATTACTTCTTAAGTCAAGGAAAATGCCATATTGAGAGCTGCCCCCCCCCCCACACACCCTTATCCTCAGCCAAGGGGGAAGAAATCAGCATGCACTGCAGTTTGGGGCTTGGATTGGGAACCAGGCATTTGAGAATGATGTCCCTTATGACTGGAGAACTCTGGCCTATGTGTGCTTTCAGAGAGCAGATGGACAGGAATAGCTACACAAAGTAGTTTTCCAGGATGCCTCAGACAAATAACCAGCTTTCTGAATCAATTAGACCACTCAAAAATAAACAACAAAATCCACATCACTTGTGTCTATAATACTTTTTTGCTAGGAGTATAAATAAACTTTTGCTTGAATTAGATGGGATGAATCAACATGGGCACTGGCCCAGAGAGTCCAAGTTTCTATTTCTAAGCAAAGAAGATAGACAGCTTCGCAGGCAGCTAAAGCCTTTATGTGAAGGGCCAGAGGGTAATCACCAGTCCTCTCCCCTAACTAACACCCCAGTTGTTTCCCAAATGGTAATATTAATGCAGGACCAATCATGAACACCCAGACCCAACCAACCCCATGGTTTCCCATGACCCGATGGAGTATTTCAAAATATTCTTCCTTGTTGCACCAAGTCATCTTTCAACCCATTGGTGACCAAGAACTAAAGAGTGAGGCAGGCCAGGAGATTCTTCTGCAGAGGCTGGTCATTGGCTGCCTCACTAGCCAAAATGATAAAGAGCCTGCTGCACTGACGGAGGGGCAGAGGAGAGAGTTTCCAATCTCCATGAAGTACATAGCCTACAGAAGAGGCCACGGAAAGCAAGATTCTAAATTAAGATGGCAGGAAACCCACCCTTTCTAGAAAGATAGACATCAATGGGCACTGACGCCAGGGCCCCATTCCCTTTAATTACTTTAATTTGAAGTGGGCTGTTATCACCGCTACCTGGGGCTGGATTTTTTTTTTTTTTTTTTTTTTTTTTTTTTTTTGGGAGTCTTTAGGATGAGGCAAAAGTTGAGGAAAGAAAACATGTTTTCTGCATTTATTTCTGAAAAAGAAAAACCTGAAAACGCAACCTAAGTTTGTGACTGGTACTTGGCAAAGAAAGCAGGCTGATGCTTGTTTTAATAGGGGGAAAGTGGCGGCCAGGCCGCCTGACCATCGCCTTTGCTTTGTAAATCTGGTTTTCATATTCTCGCTCAGTAATCACCCAAAGTCATAACTGTCTCTGAAATTATTCATTAAAGTCATTTTCAGGGATTCTCACAGGATGACTCTTTTACGTTTATGATCTTCTGAGAGCAATGACATCAGCCTGTGTCTTTTCCGCTTTTAATTGATGTGCTGGGGAGAGGGGAGAGGGGCCGCGGCCTGTGTGCGTGGGGAGGGGGCGGGCCGAGGGTGGAATCCACCGGCCGCTCTGCTCCCGGCGCGGTCAGCTGAGCTCCGGCGCGCAGACATCCTTTGATTAAGGAGGGTATTTCGGGGAGTGCAGCCTGCGCAGAAGATCACGGCTGTGCCCTGTGGTGCTGTCAGCAGTGACACATCCCAGATGGGGCCGCTACTGTATGGCAGATTGAGTTTCTCAGCAGAAAACTCACCCTTCCTCCTAAACGTCTTCAAAAACCTTCTCCAGATACCGCAGGTCTCTTCGTGTGAAACTGAAAAAGTCCAACCCCAAAGTCGGTTTCGAGTGCGTGTGTGTATGTTAGCATTTTTTTTTCCCCTTCCTCTTCTTTTTTCTCTGTACTTCCTCCTCCGCTGAGCATCTCCGACCCGCAGGGCTACGTAGCTGCTAGTAGAGTCCATGTGGCGGGCCTGGGGGCTCTTGGGGGCCCGGCTCACAGCGCCACGCCGACGACACAGCCCCGAAGGCAATCCGGTGGGTAGGGGCGCGGCGTCCGGGACGCGGGGGCATCCGTGGAGTGCCGCGGGAGGCCGGGGCGGACAGCGTGGCCAGACGCCCGCTCGGGTGCGGAGACCGGGAGGCGGTGGCGGGGGTGGGGCGCGAAGGCAGCCGCACTGGCACCCCCGTCCGGCTCGCGCTCTCCGCCGAGCGCGAGTTCAGGAAGACGGGCCGGGAGGAGGGGTGGCTGCCAACCGTGGGACTCGGCAACCCAGGAGAGGGTGGGTCCCAGGAGTCCCCAGGGACCCAGTAGGGTCCTAGGTCGGGAGATGCAAGGCTGCGGAAGTCTGTGGCCCAAGCCCAGAGGCTGAACCGCGTCCTCTCCCAGGGGAGACCCACATTTCCACATTATAAATATTCGGCCACTTGCGGATTTCGCGTTCCTTGACACGCTTTGGGTTAGAAACGGTTAGAGCAACATTTGTCTTTATTTTAAACAAAACGCGCCGCACCCGGATTCAGAGGATTTCTAGGCCCCACCCATCTCTGCCCCCGGGGTTCTCCTCACTGTGAATCCCAGTGTGATCCCCTGGGCGAAAAAACAAGGGACCACAGGGGGACGAACTTAGAAGGTGCGAATTTTACATTTTTGTCTTCAAAATACCCCCCGCACCCCGCTCCGGGAGAGGGCAGCCTGGAGAAACCCTCTCCGGTGTTTGCCTCTGGGGAACTGAGAGGAGCTAAAAACACTGCAGACCCGAGTCCAAGGTCGAAGAGGATGCACTGTCTTCTCCCGCCCCGGGGCCGGGTCACCACTTTGCGCCCTGGGCCCGAGCCTTGTCTCGCCTGGGGACCCACAATTGCAGACACCCGGCCAATTTTTGCTTTCCCACTGCTCCCTGACCTGGGTGTTTTTGTGGCCATGCCAGTTTCTCTTAGAGAAGAGCTCTGTTCCAATTTCTGATAAAACTGGATGCTTCCGTCTTGACGCCTTCCAATAGGACCCCCTCGAAGGCCCCTTTTTGGAAAAAAAAAAAAAAATAGAATCACCAGACCTTATTTTGTGTCATCAACAACACAACGGTTTGTGTGATGGACTGGGTGGGTGTGCATAGCTGATTGCAGTTCTGGAACACAATCTGAAGGGGGGTGGGGCTGTGAACAATTTATTATCCCCCCATCAGTTATTTACCTCACAATTCCTCCCTGGGTTATCAGCTAAAACCGCAAAAACTATACAAAAGCAACACACACACTGGATTTCAAAACTCCCGCTCGCCCTCGCTAGAAAGCAGCTTTTATTTGCGCTGCCCGTGCTGGATGAAAGTGTTTTATTTTGATTTTTTTTTTCTTGCACCCACATGCCTTGTAAAAGGTTCCTGTGCACGGGCCCGGCCCCCCTCTGATGACCGCAGGGCCTCGCTTCCAGACTGCAGTCCCCGCCACTCGGTTTTAAGTCCTCGCCTGGAGCCGAGGTGTAATTGTGACCCCGCCCGAGCCTCGAGCCTCCCGCGGGGACGGCTGGCCAGGCCGGCGTGGGGGCCGGGACCTCCCAAGTGGCGGCCGAGGCGCCGGGAGCCGCGTGGTCTTCGGCTTCCCTGCCTCCTCCCTCTCCCTCCCCTGCGGACTTTGCTCGTTTTCTCCCTGGATCCGTAGCCTGCCCGCGCTCCGGCGCCCAGCCTTTCTCTTGGCCTCCACTTCTCAGTTTTTTCCTCTGGATTTTTACCTCTCCAGCATCTTACTACGGGTCTCTGCGCTGCCTTCAGGTTGAAATTCCAGGTCCAAGATCAGCCAAGTGGGGCTTTGTCGGAATCTAGGGAGCAGCACGGCGAGCCTCGGGCCCCTCGGCGCCGCTGCCGAGTCGGAACCCGGCGAGCTCCTGCGTAGCGTCAGCGCGCGGGGTAATTTACCTTCCCTACCCGTCTGTCAATATGACTGATTTCCACCGGGGTCAAAAAGCCTTTCTCTGGCAGTCCATCTTGGAGCGCTCTCTTACGCGGTGGACTGGGGCGGTTGTTTTGTTTCCAGCCCTAGAAATAAATACTCTTGGGGCGTCCCTGCCAGGGCAGCTTGTGAGGAGCAGAGGAATATACACAGTGTCAATTAAAGGCAGTTTTCCTTGAACTACGAACTGTGATTGGGCTTAAACGACAGCGACCTGCCTGCCTTTTAATATACATTACCTAACTCGTCCTTGATACCAAGGCTTTCTTTAGAAACAGAAACTCAGACAAGAAGGAAATAATTACTGCTCCGGTTCTTCTCCGTCGCGTGCTGATCCCTACGGAAACATTTTCGCTGCGTTTCAGGGTGCGATTTAAAACTAGCGTATGCGCGTGCGTCTCGCTAATCTGGCCTAGACAGACTGTATATCATCCAGGTGGTGCTTTACAATAATTTTAAATCTGCTACCAACTTCGAAGTGTGAATCAATGCCCTGGAGTTAGACATTCTCTGGGACTCGACAAAGGCGGCTAAACTAGCGCTGCTTGCATTACCCGGACTCTTTAAGGAATGAGCTGAAAGAAACCAACGTGGCTGGCGGAGACGGAGCGATTCTGGTCCGCTACGTCCTCTCCTGTCTGAAACCCGCGTGGGGAGAGGATGAGCGTTCACCTCTGAGGGCACCCAGCTGGGATCCTTGGGTTGTTGGAGCTGGTTAACCTCTCCAACCGACCTGGGAATCGGGGTCCACTGAAGTGAAAGTCCCGAATAATGCATTTCCCTCCCAACCAAGCTCCGGCACTGAGGCGCCAACTAATGAACTTCCCTGAGTTAAATTCTGAACAAACTCTCTTGGAAAAAAAAAAAAAAAAGCCTCCACTCCTCCCCCTTCTCGTGTCCTTTGGACAAGTGAATTCTTGGGCTTGGGGCAGTTAGGAACTGCGGTGGAACCCACGGGAAACCTACAACTAAGAAAGCGAAGCCGCAGCGCAGGGAAATTTCCCCGAGGGCGGCCTCCAGTCGCATTCCTTAGGCTGTACCCGCGGGGGTGGGTAGCACACCACTCTCCACATAGCCCAACCTGCATGCTTGTGCCACGGTCCCAGCGCGCGCGCGCGCGCGCACACATACACACACACACACACTCGCGCGAGCACACACACACTTCTCTTCCTCTCTCATCTGTTGGTGCATTTATGACCTCATGAAAGTATATCCTTCAGGGAAAAAACTGTCTATAAAATGTGAAATATGAAGAACCTGCTTGGATATTCCCATTCCAGGCCAGGCCTGATCTTCAAGGTTTTCTTTCCTTCCTTCCTTTCTTTTCTTCTTCTTTTTTTTTTTTTTCTTCCACTAACACTTTGGCCCCTTCTGTTGCTTCCATAATCATCTAGTTATTCTTTCTAAACGATGGGAATTGGTTCTACATGATCTCTGTTTGGTCCCTGTGGAAAGAAAAAAGTCTCCAGTCTTAAGAAGTATCTTTGCTTAGGGGAAGGCATGGGCATGATAATTTTACTTTCTATCCCTTGTCATCTTTGAAAAACCCTGGCACCATATGTTCTAACTACTACAAACAGCTGGTGAAACCAGGGGCTGTTTCAACTCCCTTTCGTTTCCTTCCTGCCCTCCAGTTTCCCCCAGTGCCACAGTTCTGTGTCTCACAATCATCAGCCCTTCTTTCTTGTGGTCACTCTCTAAAATATCTCCTATAACTGAGCACCCCTTAGAAATCAAAGAGTTAGTCACCTGTTTTTGTAGGAAAAGGGGATCTTACTTTGTTTGGGGGAAGATCTTTTTACTAATAAAAATGGATAGAGCAAAGATTATTCTCCGTTCAGTTTTCTGTGTGCCATACTTTTAAATAAAAGTTTTTTAAAAGTCCCTTTCATTTTGCAACTTGACCTTCGCCATGAGAGTGGTTTAAGCTGTTTACTAGCAAGGAACTATGCAACAGGAAAAGCTGCAGGAGACATAAACATCAGTAACAGCCCAAGAGCTGTGTCCTTTTGTGGAGGCGGATCTGTTTATTTGCAGATTTCTTGAAGAGCACATCAGTTCTAACTTTAAAACCTTTTTGCCATCCAAGGACCATGTAATTACCTGGGGGTAGATTGTTCAACTCCTTGCTTAGCTTTGCTGATCACTTTTCTTTGAGTTTATTTCACTGAGAGAGTTAATACTCCTCCTTCTCTTCTTCCTTCTCCTTCTTTCTCCTTTTTTCCTCCTCCTTCTTCTTCTTGTTTCTCCTCCTCCTCTTCTCCTCCTCCTCTTCCTCTTGTTCTTGTTTCTTGTTTCTTCTTCTTTTTAAATGGGTTTAAAACATTGTCTTATGAGTTTGCCTAACAAGACTTTTTTACCTTGTGAATGCATTGGAGAATGAGCAAGGTGTTTAGCCCACACTGAGTGGTGAAAGAGGATGTGGTAGGGGAGTTTTCTGAGAGAGAAAGAGAGAGAGACAGACAGACAGACATTGGTTGATTCCAGGGATGAGTTTTGTCCTCCTCATAAAAGAAGCTATACATTTTCAAACATCTATTAGAAAATCCAATCCTTTTAATTATGTTCTGTTAAGGGTTCCACATGGGACTGAAGGCTCAGTGCATCCTGCTTGCCTGTGTTCCTAGTGATTCAACTAAAGAAATAAAGGGTTTCAATCCCTCAAGTCTCCCAATGAGAGACTTCGTACTCTGCCTCACCTGAAGTCTTAAACTTCTACGTAAAAATATTGTTTTCTAGTCAGATTTTCAGTTTAGAATCCACTGAGTGAAACAAAAAGTTTATTACATCTATCAGTCCCATATTTTCAGTAAACAACATCTGGATAATTCCTCCTCAAAATGTGATAGAATGTGTAAATATATTTAGTATCTGTTGTCTCTCATTATCTCCTGATCAGATTAATTTCTAATGAGCAGGCAGTACATTCTCATGGTTCAAAATTATGCAAAATGTACATGTGAAAAATCTCTCTAGTTGCTCCCCCCACTATTATTCATTTTTGTGCATCTTCTCTGAGCTACCTAACACTGGGAAAAACAAGTAGAAATATAATCTGTGTAGTTCTAGCAGGGTGCAGGCACTGCAGTGTTATCTGTTCTGCTGGGTGGCTTGATGAGCTCCTGGGAAGCTTTGAAGGGGTTTACACCAAATACAATCTGGTCGGGGTGTGAGGAGGCTCCTGAATGTAATTTAAAATACATGGGAAAGAGAAGACAGGGGCACATGCAGAACAAATGATCCCTAAGTCCACATTGGACTGTCTGAAGTCAAAGAATAAGGAAAGGGGGTGGGGAGGGGAGAAAGAGAAGCCAGGAGAAACATTGGGGTCATCTAGAAATGTAGGATGTGGCTTCTCATTCTTTGATGTGTTCCTTCCTCTAACAAATGAAAAAGGATTAAATTTTTATACATCAAATAAATAATGAATAAGTTTTCTCCTACTATCACAAAGATTTTGCCATTCCGGTTTGTGCATAATTTCTGTGGGTTGTTAGTGAATGAGCAGGCATAGAGAAATACACATTTATAATAAAATAACAAATATGAATGCTGCAGTTTAATTAAGTAATATGTACACTTGATATCCTTTAATTAAGTAATATGTACACTTGATATCCTCTAGCATTTCAGCCTTTACAATTCAACAAGAGGTGAAGATAGAGCCAGAGGTGATTGCTCCCCTTGGTGTGGTCCTTTGGGGTCTTGCTCCGCAGTGTAACCTATTGAGTGACTGACGCTGAAGATATGGATGGAGGAGAGAACACACTTTGTAGGAAAAGTGCCATGCCCAGGGCTGCTTGCCAGTGCTAGGGCAGTTCTACTGCCTGGGATGGGATGTTCTGTATTTCTTATACCTGACCAGAGTTTCTGTTATATTGACTCAAGTCTACACTCCTCCTCATCACACTTTTCTTTATCCTTGCAAATGGTGTCAGAAACATTTATAGTTTCTGTGTGGACTACAGCCAGGATTGTATGTGTGTGTATCTCTGTGTGCATGTGTGTTCTTGTGCACGTGTGTGTGTTGGGGGCGGGGAGGAGTATGTTGCTAAGTATCCATGTTTCTATTAATACCAAAACTTTTTCTTCTTCCACCTTGGGCTCCTTGTCACTGCTGTCTCATAATACTAGCTGCAGTAATAAAAACAAAAGCTCACTGCTGATTCTCGTTTCCTCCCCTGAACAGATTTTTGCCAGTCCCTCTTAGGGACAGCTAGGTTTTAGCCTTAGTTACTGAGGTTAAGCCACCTTCCTAAGGGGGCTGACTTTCAGATCACCCACTGTGTTCGATTGATGCTTGGTAGGACCAAAGGGCATTTTGTGGGTGAAAAGGACCCCCAAAGCCTCTGCCCCCTGCAGCCCTGGAGCTGTTCATCAGTTTGGAAGCCAACGGCCCACATAATTCTAATTAATGTGTGCACATGTTGGCCAGCCTCCTGGCCAGTTTTATGGGTTTCACTAGCAGTGTTTGAATTGGCAGGGTCAGTGAGTCTGAGGCTGGTGCTGTGATTGGGATTAAGGGTGCTAATGAATATGTGACCATGAGTGGACTTGTCCCCAGTACTGACTACCCTGAGGGTCTCTACATTTCCAAAAGAGAATGATGGTCTGGGAGGAACCAAAGAGGTCACACTCAGAAGTTTAAAATCTTCTGTTCTGCATGTTGGCACAGAATATAAAAGGAATATTACAGGAAGGAATTCTTTGTAAAATTTTAGAGGTGATGGGGGGAGAAAGAGGGAGGGAGAGAAAGAGAGGCTTCATCCACTAGTTCATTCTCCAAATACCTGGAACAGCAGCCAGGGCTAGGCTAGTAGCCAGGAGCTGTGAACTCAATCCTGGTGTCTCGTGTAGATGGCAGGGACCCAAGTACTTGGTACTTTCATGCATTTAGCAGGAAGCTAGATCAAA